AATATCAAGACAGCCTTCAGCACTGACCAAACCCCCACAACATGAATAAACGTGATGATACCTCCCGCCTACCCATCTGGAAACCAGCCCTAGTCAACAAAGGAGCCCCACCCACCACCCAGGTCATTACAACACAAAACAACAACGGACCCACAGCCAGCACCTCAGCCACACAGGGTGATACGAAACAGCCGACCAATCTACAAACATCAACTCCATCTACCAATCAGGATGCAACTACACAGCCAATCAACCCACTTATAGCAACAAAGCCAGCACTCAACACCCCCCACCAAGATTTATAAAAAGACGGCAGCTCTGACCACGCTTTACTTGCACAAGCACGAAGCCGAAAACAACAGCCTGAAGATGGCAGTGGGACCTCACTGAAACGTTGCCAAGACAATCTCAATCTTACATGGGAAAAGACCCGAATACAACAAGACCAGCATATATATAGCAAGAATACAAGACCATATATATTGATGATGCTATGTAGTTAGGGTAATGAAACATCTGCAAGAAAACAAGCAAGCTCAGAGAGCACCAAGGACCTCTCATATATAAATTATATGAGTCAAATATTTATTCCTACATATCAACAATTTGATAGCAGATATGTATTTATCGTTAAGTTGCTTTATTTGTTTCATGTTCGATATGCATGGAAATGAGCAGGACAGTAAAAATATGTGCTGCATATTTGGTTAGAGTCATAAATATGGTGGGAAAAGAGAAAGAATTTTCTCCAAAGAAGTCTGCAGTCTTGCTTTGTGGGTGATGCTCTTCACTGCCTCTTAATAGAGCTTTTTTGCCATCTAGATATTTCAGAAAGGAGCAATTGCAGACCAAGGCATAACTGATTTCTCCAATTGTGGAGGGGCCTGATTTTCAGAGAGAAATTATCTCTGCCAGTGTGTGTGGATAAAAAGAAAAACCCTTTCTCTTAAAAATTCACTATGCACACTTTGATTTTGCCTAGGGAAGAAATAATTGTTTTCTCCAAAAAATGGAACAGTAGTCACAGGAGGGAAGATAACAATTTTCATAGATATGCAAAGTAGACACCAGCAGCAAATGAGAGGAAGCAACATGAAGAAAAAGAGAACTTGCCATCTCTGTGTCCTTTATAAAGAATGTACGTATGTCTGTTGAGCAAATGCCATTTGTACCAAAGCAATCAGAACAAAATGATTTGTCTTGCGTAAAAAAACCAGATGAATGTCACTTTAAAGAATTATCCAAAATCCCTTTTTGTAATAATTCATATTAAACTCCATTTTGAAAATGGTTATTTAAATGCATATAATCTACATATGAAAAGCATTACAGCCTTATTTGTTCTGCTATAATACATTACACACACACACACACACACACATACACAGACAGACATAATTTGTGACTTACTGTACCTGTAACTGGAAATCCATGTTGGCACATAGAGAGAAGCAAGAAGAGGTAAGATTGACTTCCTGTGTATAAAAGACAACAAACTAAAATGCTCCAAGATGGTGAAATACAAGTTATATGACCACGTAAAGAGCTTTGGTGGATCAGAACAGTCATTCATCAAATCTAACTTCCCCCAGCCTGGTGGTCATCAAACAAGCTGAATTTATAGTCAACCCATAGCAAATTCTTCTTCATTCTTGAAAAGGCCAGCAACATAGCTGTCATCACTCTTCCCCTGGAAAAAAATATTCTCCAAATAAAATAAAAAACAGAACCAATGCTATGAATGTTTTAGATGGCTTATGTTTGAAGAGGTCAGCTTGAATGATCAAACATGGAACACAGAACTCGTAAAGGTTGTGATTAATTTAGAATCTGATCTCGATTTATAGCATTAATGCTGGAAAATATGTGCTATGGTCAGTTGACCTGTGTGGCTTGTCTTCTTATAGGAGAATTGAAATAATTTGATGTCATAAATAAATAAAGCAAACAAGCAAGCTTTGATTGCTGGTCTGTATCCTCAAGATATGAGCTTTGTAGCTTGAAGTCAGACCAATCATGATGTCAGACCTGCAAGCCATCTTTTCTTTTTAGGTTTCAGGCCTGCCACACTTTCAACTATTCATTTTCTATTGTGGGAAAATGGGAGGGGGGATTATACGGAGTTGGGTGATATGTAGCCATAATAACATTCTTTCTTAGAAAGCCAAGGTCATCCTTTGTCTCTGCACCTTGCCGGAACTGGAAGGGTGGAAACTGCCAGCATAGCAGTGTAAGATTGGACCATGTGATGGACTTGTGCGTGAGGGGGCAGGGTCTTGAATTTTCAACTGGATGGGAAAACCTGGAAGCTTTCAAATTCGGGTTTTACCAGATGTGCCAACATGGCTCTTTTAATAAATTGGAATTTTGAGGAATCCTTTGCATCAGACTCTGATTTACTTTTGGATGCTATTTGGAACCCAGACAAATGACTTCTTTCTCTCAATTCTACCCTCCATACCATACTGTACAACCAGGTTTTTGAAGGAGTGGATCCCCCATACAGTAGTTGATTGAAGGATTCTGGGAAAATCTTTTGGTTGCAGATTCAGAATCCTGTCCAAATAGTGCTTCTATTGAAAATTCACATGAAATTAACCCTAGGTACAGCTTTTTAACAGTTGATTTGGGGTTGTCTTGAATGTCAGTTTTTCTTCTCCTGGGCAAAATTCTCATTGAATGTCACCATAGCTTAAAACTTCCACCTGCTTTCCTATGACATTCATAAATGTCCCTGGGGCCATTATTAACATTAAGTAGTGCAAAGAATAAAAAATTAAGATAAACAAAGATTAAGGTCTGGACCGTCACAAAATCGATCTAATAGTTATAGTTTTCCCAGGCCAAATTAAAAATTCAAAGAACTCAACAGGGAGTGAGACTATACATTTGGTATGAAAAAAGAGACTTGTGGATTCTGCACTCATAATTGGGCAGAATTAGCATGCAAGATGTGGTGTCTGAAGATGAGATGCTCTAGAAAAAGGTTCCCAAATTCTGCAGGTCTGCAACACTTAAAATGGCACATACATGTATGTGGTTCTCCCCATCCCCACCCTCAATTAAACAAATAACTTCATTGGTGTAGGGTTAAGCAGGATATAAACATATCACTCTTACTCATTAATACGAAGGGCATTTTAAACTTCATTTAGTAACTGCCCTTCAAGGTTTGGATAGATAAAATCAAGAGCAAAACTCAGACCCAATTTTGACCCTGCTACTCCTTTGCCTGTGGAAGCTGGATCAGGCTGGGGAAAGTGTATGAATTCACTATGTAGATTGAATCCCAATTTGAGGAGTAAAGGATACATTCCTTATTTCACAAGTTCTTTGAGCTTACATATAATACACCCCAAAGGCATAAAAGGCATTTCAAACAATGGTGAGGGATGAATGAGTTTCATTACTTATATGGTTGGGATGAAGTTCTTGTGTAGGCAACCCACCTTCCAAATGCTGGCTTCCTTCCCATAGACAACCGCCATATTGTTGGCCTTGTTGGATTTAATAAACTGCTTCTCAGTCACATTGAGCTCTTCTGACACAAACCCCATGAAAGAATTATCTGGTGTATGAGCTGTGGAGGAATAACATAATATGTTACTGTAACAATGGAAATTTTCATCACTCTCCCCTGAATAATACAATCTACCACACCTCCAATGAAATAACATTCCACTTCATTGGAACAGTATATACTTTGTAGAGGCTACATTGAATTTTGTGCTCACCCTAGATCAGGGATATTTAATCTTGGCAACTTTGAGACCTGTGGACTTCAACCAGCGATAGTCCTGGCTTGAGAATTTTGGGAGTTGCAGAATCTTAAAGTTGCCAAAGTTGGACACTCCTGCCCTAGAGTTTCTACACTTTTTTGCTACTTTTATGTGTCATACCATGAAATATGGGATCATAAACATTATCAACATCAGACGGGATCTTGGAGGTCTTCTAGTCCAACCCCCTGCTCAAGCAGGAGACCCTAGGGTCTATGCCATTTCAGGCAAATGGATGTCCAGTCTCTTCTTAAAATCCTCCTGTAATGGAGCACCCACAACTTCTGAAGGCAAGCCATTACACTGGTTGATTATTCTCAGTATCAGGAAATTTCTCCTTAGTTCTAGGTTGATCCATTATATACTACCAATCCTCTGGTTAGCCACAAGAGAGGTGCTTTGTTACTTTAGAAATCAAATACCCTTATTTTAAAAATTAATCTACTGATATATTTCACACCTTTCTTATCAGATACTTTTAATTCTGTTATAGAATATCCACTTTTTGTTCATTAATAGCTACAATAGCTGAATGAGCTGTCTGAAGAAGGACGGACAATTTTTAAAAACAAAGGGTCAGTCCTGGGGAAAATTTTTTACTTTTATATAACAATTTATTTTGGCTCATAATTTGCACTTGGTATAACTATTTAAAAAGGTGATTATAAACTTGGCTGGCCATACTAATTCTTATTATTGTTTGGAAAGTTTTCAAAGCTTTGATGATTTGGGCACACTTGATGACTTGTATTGATGCTAAAGTTGTATTTTTCCACAATTCAAATGTTTGGGTAATTGAATTATTTTAGAACTGAAACATGTTGCAGGATTAATTCAACAAACTGCTATAGTTTGCAGTTTATAAGGTCAATTCAACTTCTGGTTCCATGAGTAAAGGTTCATCCAAAATAACAATATGATCAAATAATTAATGGTAATTTCTTAAAACTAAGTACTATCTGCTATTAATTCTGTTCCTGGATCAGTGAGTCATCAGATTTTCATGAACAACCCATATTTATTGGGAGAAAATAAAAGAGGAATAAAAGAAAGTGCAACAATACTAGCTTTGGAGAAAGGGAACAATGATAGAGTATGTTTAATTCCCAGTGGATTTTGTAGACTATGTGCCAAAATATCACATGGACTTCCAGATGTCAGATTTCATCTGCTCTAATAGTAAGGAATCATAGAAGCTGCAGTCCGTTGACATCTGGAGAGCTATAGGCTGCACATTCAAATCTTGAGTATGTATATATGCATGCTCACAACTTGGTTTGTGCAATTAGGAACATTTCTTTCTCCTGAATTCAAGCCATTTATACAATATGTGATCCCAGCCATTTGTACAAGTTGTGTGCTTGTGTCCCAGTCACATATATAGTTTCTGTGAACATATATATGGTCAGTCCCAAAGGTGCTTTTTGAAAAGGCAATTGGACTTTCTTTGTTTTGCCTTGGAGGCGTTTCCTTGAGGAACTGAAGATGCTTCTTGGATGAGAAGCAAAACGTCTTCAAGGGAAAAGCAAGAAAGTCCAGTTGCCTTTTGAAAAAGCTGCTTTGGGACAACCATGACCAGGCTGACTGAGAATCTCCATAGACATATATACAGCCTGTTGTTCACACTACTAACCGAATATAATGGCTGAAGAGAAAACAGAACCATTACGGAACCATTTCCTGAGGATCAACCTAGAGTCATTCCAAAACAAAACCTAGAAATAACCCTTTTGTCTTCTTCTCAATCAGGACAGTTTGCTGTAACCATATTTACTAATGGCTGCAAAATAAAATTGAGGGATCCCTGTACACTTTCTAATGTTGCTGAACTACCTCCAAACATTAGCCAGGTGTGCAGGCACTTCTGATATTCAGCAACATCTGAAAAGCAACAACCTCTGTTTCATCAACTATAAATGCCCTGCTCGCTAATTCATATTTTGAAAATCAAAAGAATCACTATGCTAAATTTACACATATTTTAATACCATTATTTTGTCTATACATTTTTAACCACCACTAATTCTGAGTCTGGCTTTGCTTTGACTGCCTCTTGACAGGAAAAAGAAGCACCAACCAGCATCTTCCTTGGTCTGCTTGCTTTCCCAGCATGTTGTCAAACTCAACAAAGAACTCATTCTTATCCTCTTTGCATGCTGTATTTCTTTTAAGAGATGGCAGGAAAGATCCACTGCTTCCTTTGCAATGCATTTAAATATATGCTAGAGCCAACCATAGAGAATGGCCTTTCTGAATAGTGGTTAACAATGCCAGAACCTTTATTAGAAAACACACTTTGTTTATTTAGAGATAATTCTTAATTCTCTGATAAAATCTTCCCATGAGCATATCCCTGACATAATATTACAAGCAAGAAAATTGTTATGAGATGATTACTGCTAAATGTCACCCTCAACCAATATATATTATTAGAGGAATTAGGATAGTGAGAGTTTTGGACTGATTAGGAGGACCGAAATTTCACTCTTTAAGAGTCACTCTTAAAATTCACTCTTGTTCACTTGGCAAGGGCATCCCAAAGGGTCAGAAGAGACAAAACAGGGGCAGTAACCAAACCTCTACCCTTTGTTTATGGGTATTGCATGGGGACATCCTTTCATTGGGAGATCCTGGGCTCATCTTCTCTCTCAGCCTGCATCATAAATTTATTATGAGGATAAAAAGGGGATACAAAGAAAACCTGTGCTCTTTGCTAAAAGTGTATGCATAAAACATTTGTATACAATTGAAACTCTTGTGTCTGTAACTTTAACTGAGAAAAACAGTGTATCATAAGGCAACAATTTTTGAACCAAGATATCAAATGGGCTAATTTATGGAATCCATCCATGGAATCCACAACTCCTGTGGGATTGAAATTTGATAAATTTGTAGTTGCTTCTGTGCTGCCACACTGTTGCCCAGAGACTCAGTAGCCTGTCCTGCTCTAGCACTCTGGAGACCAGGTACAGCTGCCTCTTCCTTGGCTGCTGGAGATCAAGTAAACTCATCCCACTCTAACCCTTTGGAGGCCAGGTAGACCAATCCCACTATGATCTAAGGAAAGGCAATCAGCCACAGGAAAGCTGTCAAGAAGTTGAAAATCGTTGTCACTGCCACTGCTTTTTTTTGCCTTTGGTCATTCTGTTTCTCTGTTTTGGTAAGAAAATATCTCTGAAACAATGACCCAACGGATCACAGGTTGTCTATTTTACAAATAAAATAGTAATATGGGATAAATCTGTCCTAACTGGAGCTAAATTGAGAATGTAATATTGTCAGTGGGAAACCCACAGATATGTCTAGCAGATCTCAAAGCTAACAAATAGGGCAAAGAAATCTATTTTGACTATAAGAGATTGCCTGTGAAGCTAAGAATGAGTTAATCTCACTACAAAAAACTTTTCATTTCTAACCAATACATTGCTGATGCTCACCTCACTGATTTCCAGGGACCTGGCAACAATGAAGTCACCCGTCCTTAACTAAAACTAGAGGTACAGTCTTCAGGCCGCCCATAGCTGGCCTTCTTCCAAGAAACCTGCCTGCTTCTAACAATGATTTCTGGTTGTTGTCATTCCCCCACCCCATCTGTCTTTAACCTTCCAGTTGGAACTGTGTATTTTCCCACCCGCCTCTTCTGATAATTTATCATGTCTGCAGGGAATTCTGAGACCGATTCTGTGCAATAGAATATATCAAAGGAGGGAGCATAAGAAATCTAATATGATGCCGATCTATAAAAGCCCATTTGTTCCATTTCTCATTTGATCCTTAGATTGTTTTGACCACAACATCACATTCCTCTGTTACTGCTTCAATTGTTTCTAGCTAGGTGACAAATGATTGGTTATTTTGGAGAGAGAGAGAGAGAGAGAAAGAGAGGGAGAGAGAGAGAGAGACTTGCATGGGAATCATGCAGTGTCAGTCAAAACTCTTTCATTCAAACTATGCTGAGGAAAAAGGTAGATGCTGGGGTAGCCTGAAAACATAATTAACAGAACAGTAGGAGTGGGTAGTTAAAAACTAAAGTGAAAGCTAATTAAAATGGCAGGCCCCATTAAGCCAACTTATCATTGGGATATCATTGTCAAGGTTAAGGTCAGGTTGAATCAGCAAATTTGCCTATTGGGGCCCTTGGGAAATCAGCACAAGTTGCGGAATATCTTATCACAACAAGAGGTATCCCATGGAAAAAGATGTTTTTAGTTTTTATATTCGTGGTCCCTTTGGGAGTTTAGCATTTTTCACAGCTTCAACTTCTAGTTTCCAGAAAGAAATGTCAATCAGTCAACCTGATGCAAATTACTGGTTCAAAAATGTGATCAGATTTGGGCTGCCACAAAATCAGGGCCATCACTAGATGACAGAAAAATATTAGAATTATATGCATCTTTTAACTGCTTTCATGGGATCATCAGTGCAGCCCAGATCTAGTTTCCCCTGGTTCAATCAGCTGTGGTGAAAAAAAAAGGATCTGACCCATTACAGATTGATTACCTGGTCAGATAACGAGATCAGTAATTGATTGCTCAAAGTATAATCACCAAGCTTGTCTTAGAGCAAACCATGTTTTGAAGATGCGACTATGCTGAAACAAGAAGGACACACTAAAAGAGCTCAGATAATACATTTTTCTTTCCTTTATGGGTGTCCACTCCTCAAAAAGCAGAAATAAGAGAGAGGCTTACAAAGCACAGGTCTGGCACATAGGACAGACAGACAGCTCTGAAGCTTACAGAATTGGTGAGCCTCAACTCCAGGGGAGGAAAAACCAAGAGGATTTTTTTTGAGAAACTTGAACATGCCCAAAGAGCAACAAATTGTTCAACAAAGAACTACTTTTTTTCCCCATTGGAGACCTTCATACATTACTACTCTTATCTCAAGCTCCATGACCTTCACAGGACAGGACAGGACAGGATGTAATGGAGCGACTCCCCATCACCTATTTCTTGCTAGCTTATCTCTGATGAACCCTATTTGAAGCACTTCAGTTGAAGCCCCCCCCCACCACCACCACCCCAGGTTCATTCAGTCAGCTTCAAGTTGGTGAAAAAAGGAAGAACAGCTCCCAAATAATGTAAAAATTGAACGGGTCTTTTCTACTTTCATGTAAGTGATTCATTGCTTGAGAGGAATGAATAGCGCATTGAATAGTGTTTAGATAGTGTTCCATGCTTCATATAACTAGTCAATAGCAATGTTCAGCATTTTGGACCAGCTGAAGAATCCCAACACATTTCAAAAGGGACTTCAGACTGAACATAGTGGAGGAGGTTTGATTTTTGGGTTCTTCACCTAAGCTTCCTGGAGATTTCTGTATTTCCACTCTGGAAACCTAGGAAGGTTCTTATCTTGTTATCCCACACCTCATGGTAACCACAATGAACATAAAAAATCACTTACGAAACATTGTCATGAACTGTTTAGGATGGAGGTTCCAATAGCCCCAGTTTGTTCGATATCCATGCAGAGTGGCATATTCCTCATGATTGTATGCAGGTTCAGTCCCAAAAGTATCGATTACTCGAACACGACATCTGTGTAAGGAAATAAGGGGGGGGGACCCCATAATAGTGACATAATTGAAAGTCATGCTTTCTACTGCTTAAGTGGAAGAGTCCTATTATGGGATTTGGGAATCCTGTGATCTTCAAGGACTATTACAAACTTATTGCGCCAGGGACCTGTTTATTTGTTTGCTTGTTTCTTAGATGTATATCCTGCTTTTTGTTCAAAGGCTGCACTTACTATTCCTGCTTTCCATTGGTCCTCATAATAGCAACCAATAGGTGGCAGAAACAAAGTGGTGCAAACATACCTGATGAATTTCCATGGTTGAGGAGTACTCCAAACCTGGGTCTCTCCAATGCCAATCTAGCACCTTAACCACTATAACATACTAGCTCAATATTAGATTTGTGTCCAAGAATAGCCTTACTAGTCAGGCACTGAGGAAATGCAATGTTGGAAACAGAAGAATGCGCACCCAGTGCTCTGCACAACTTCTCTTAGCACAAAGCAGAGCCAACAGCCCTTAGGCTTATATAGAACTTCACAGTGCTTTACAGCTCTCTCTAAAGAGTTTACAGAGTCAGCATGATACCCACAACAACCTGGGTCATTTTACCCACTTCCATCAGAAGGATGGAAGGCCAAATCAACCTTGAGCTGGTCAGGATTGAACTTCTGGTAGTCGGTATCAGACATCAGAGTAGTACATGTTATGCCCACATACTTTTTTTCCATTGATTCAATGAATCATGAAAGAATGAATGGGATCTGTTCTTTTTTTTTAATGAGCATTTAAAAAAACAAACTTTTACAAATATTTACTTCCCTCCCCCCACCCCCCCCAGAACCAATACAGGGTATAAATCTTTAACAAA